AGCGGAGGCGGGCTGCGAGCGGGCGGGCGGCGGGCGGCGGGCGGCATCGGGATTTCAATAGAACTCCTAAGGAGGGTGTCTTGCAGCGGGAGCCTGCTGAGTACACGGTGTTGTGTTGGGCGCGGAGGCTGTTGAGTACTGGGTGCTGTGTTGGACACGGAGGCTGTTGAGTAGTGGGTGTTGGACACGGAGGCTGTCGAATACATGGTGTTGTGTTGGACACGGAGGCTGTTGAATAATGGGTGTTGCGTTGGACACGGAAAGAGTTGAGCACAAGGAGAGGGGCGGGCGGGCGGGCGGGCGGCGGGCGGCTGGCGGCGGGCGGGATCGGGGTGTCAATAGAACTTGTAAGGAGGGTGTTTTGCATCGGGAGCCTGTTGAGTACGCGGTGTTGTGCTGGACACGGAGGCTGTTGAGTTGGACACGGAGGCTGTTGAGTACGAGGTGTTCTGTTGTGCACGGAGAGGGTTGACCACAAGCAAAGCGGGGGCGGGCGCGCGGGCGGGCAACGGGCGGCGGGCGGGATCGGGAATTTAATGTAACTCCTATGGAGGGTGTCTTGCAGCGGGAGCCTGTTGAGTACAGGGTGTTGCGTTGGACGCGGAGGCTTTTGAGTATTAGGTGTTGTGTTGGGTACGGAGAGAGTTGAGCACAAGGAGGGCGGGGGCGGGCGGAGGGCGGGCGCGCGGGCGGGCGGCTGGCGGCAGGCGGGATCGGGATTTTAAGATAACTCTTAAGGAGGGCGTCTTGCAGCGGGGGCCTGTTGCGCACAAGGTGTTGCGTTTTACGCGGGGCCTTTGGAGAACTTGGTGTTGTGTTGGACCAGGAGGTTGTTGAGTACCGGGTGTTGTGTTTGACACGGAGAGAGTTGAGCGCGGGGAGCGCGGGGGCGGGCAGCGGGCGGGCGCGCGGGCGGGCGGCGGGCGGCCGGCGGCGGGCGGGATCGGGATTTTAATGGATTTCTTGTGGAGGGTGTCTTGCAGCGGGAGCCTGTTGAGTATTTGGTGTTGTGTTTTTTCACGGATGCCGTTGAGTATTGGGTGTTGTGTTGGACACGGAGACTGTTGAGTATTGGGTGTTTTGTTGTACGCGGAGAGGGTTGAACACAAAAACAGCGGGCGGCGGGCGTTCGGGCGAGGGCGGCGGGCGGCGGGCGGCATCGGGATTTCAGAAGGACTCCTAAGGAGGGTGTCTTGCAGCGGGGGCGTGTTGAGTACACGGTGGTGTGTTGGATGCGGAGGCTGTTGAGTACTGGGTGTTGTGTTGGAAACGGAGGCTGTTGGAGTACTGGGTGTTGGACACGGAGCTGTGGAATACTTGGTGTTGTGTTGGACACGGAGGCTGTTGAATAATGGGTGTTGCGTTGGACACGGAAAGAGTTGAACACAAGGAGGGGCGGCGGGCGGGTGGGCGGGCGGCGGGCGGCGGGCGGCGGGCGGGATCGGGGTTTCAATAAAACTTCTAAGGAGGGTGTCTTGCAGCGGGAGCCTGTTGAGTACACGGTGTTGTGTTGGACACGGAGGTTGTTGAGTACTGAGTGTTGAGTTGGACACGGAGGCTGTTGAGTACTTGGTGTTGTGTTGTACACGGGGAGGGTTGACCACAAGGAAAGCGGGGGCGCGCGGCGGGCGGGCGCGCGGGCGGGCAACGGGCGGCGGGCGGGATCGGGATTGTAATGGAACGCCTTTTGGAGGGTGTCTTGCAGCGGGAGCCTGTTGAGTGCAAGGTGTTGCGTTGGACGCGGAGGCTGTTGAGTATTATGTGTTTTGTTGGATACGGTGAGAGTTGAGCACAAGGAGAGCGGGGGCGGGCGGGCGGGCGCGCGGGCGGGTGGCTGGCGGCAGGCGGGATGGGCATTTTAATCTAACTCCTAAGGAGGGCGTCTTGCAGCGGGAACCTGTTGCGCACAAGCTGTTGCGTTTTACGCGGAGCCTGTTGAGTACGCGGTGTTGTGCTGGACACGGAGGCTGTTGAGTACTGGGTGTTGTGTTTGACACGGAGAGAGTTGAGCGCGGGGAGAGCGGGGGCGGGCGGCGGGCGGCCGGGGGCGGGCGGGATCGGGATGCCAATCGAATTCCTAAGGAGGGTGGTCTTGCAGCGGGAGCCTGTTGAGTACAATGTTTTTTTTTTTTTTTTGTTTTCACGGAGGCTGTTGAGTACTTGGTGTTCTGTTGGAGACGGAGGCTGTTGAGTACTGGGTGTTCTGTTGTACACGGAGCGGGTTGAACACAAGGACAGCGGGGGCGGGCGGCGGGCGGGCTGGCGGCGGGCGGCGGGCGGCAGGTTGGATCGGGATTTCATTAGCACTCCTCAGGAGGGTGTCTTGCAGCGGGAGCCTGTAGAGTACACGGTTTTGTGTTGGATGCGGATGTTGTTGAGTACTGGGTGTTGCGTTGGACACGGAGGCTGTTGAGTATTGGGTGTTGTGTTGGACACGGGGACGATTGACCACAACGAAGGCGGGGGCGGGCGGCGGGCCGGCGCGCGGGCGGTCGGCGGACGGAGGGCGGGATCGGGGTTTCAATAGAACTCCTACGGAGGGTGTCTTGCAGCGGGAGCCTGTTGAGTACAGGGTGTTGTGTTGGACACGGAGGCTGTCGAATACTTGGTGTTGTGTTGGACACGGATGCTGTTGAATACTGGGTGTTGCGTTGGACACGGAAAGAGTTGAACACAGAGAACGGGGGCGGGCGGCGGGCGAGCGCGCGGGCGGGCGGCGGGCGGCGGGCGGGATCGGGATTTTAATAGAACTCCTTTTGGAGGGTGTCTTGCAGCAGGACCCTGTTTAGTACTTGGTGTTGTGTTGGACACGGCGGCTGTTGAGTACTGGGTGTTGAGTCGGGCACGAGGGATACTGAAGGGGCTCAGGGAAGGGCACACCAGAGACCTCGAGCCAAACATGTTGTTGAGTGTGTTGATGATGCTGATGATGGTGTTGATGGCAAATGATCATGAGAATGATTAGTTTGACGAGGAAATATCATGACGATTATGAGTATGATGGTTGCGGTGAGTATGATTATGATCACGGTGAGCAAAGGGAACCTATGCGGCGGGGGCCTCTGGGAGGGGCCCCGTCGGGGCTCTCTGGAAAGTGGAAAACAATGTAATTCATATACTAAACGAGAAAGGGGGGTCATGGTGGGTTCAGCGGGCTGTTTTTACGTGTCCAGGCCGCCCAGCGGGGTATCTAACATGGTTGCCTCTAGCTGGAACCAGATCTTTTTTCACGTGTCCAGGCCGCACAGGGAAAGTCTCTGGGATGGCGGTCCCGAGCTGCAACCACGTGTTTTCACGTATCCTGGCCACCCAGGGGGTATCTAACATGGTAGTTCCGAGCCGGAACCACGTGTTTTCATGTGTCCACGCTGCCCAAGGGGTATGTAACATGGCAGTCCTGAGCTGGAGCCACGTCCAACACAGGAGGGTATCTAACATGGTGGTTCCGAAATCAAGCCACGCGTTTTCACGTGTCCAGGCCACAAGGGGGCTATCTAACATGGTTGTCCCGAGCTGAACCACGTGTGTTTACGTGTCCAGGCCACCCAAGGGGTATAATGTTTGTTTTCGCGTGTCTAGGTCTCCCAGGCGGATGTCTAACCTGAAGATGTGTTGAGGATGTCTCTAGGGAGACGCTTGTTTTCACGTGTCCTGGTCGCCCACGCGGATCTCCAACATGGAGGTATGTTACCGATATCTTTAGCGAAACGATTGTTTTCACGTGTCCAGGTCGCCCAGGCGGGTCGCTAACATGAGGATGTGTTGAGGATGTCTTTGGCGAAACGCTCGTTTCCCTTTTCACGTGTCCCGAGCGAAACATTTTTTCAGCATGATTTGTTCAGGGTGTCTCTAGCGTAATGCTTGTTTTCGTTTTCGCGGAGGGGGATGTAACGTGCGTTTTGTGCATTGCATTTGGCGCGTGTTCACGCGTCCAGGCCACACAGGGGGATATCCAACATGTGGTGTGGCTCTATGCCTGAGCAAATTGTGAGGATGTCTCGAGCGAGGGCTTCGGAACTGAAATGGCTCTTGGGCTCGAGCTGATCGAGCGCCCCGCGCGTTTCGATTGCAACTAGCCCGAACTATGCGTTCAGGCAGCTCGAGCTTAAGATCCAAACCAGTTCGGTCAGGATTCTGGCGCCAAGGACGGCGTATCTCTAACATGAGGATTTGTTGGGGATGTACCGAGCGAAACGCTTAGTTTCTCGTGTCCTGGTCGCCCACGCGGATCTCTAACATGAGGTCGTCGGGCACTTCGCACGTAGAAAAACTCGCGCGGAGCGGACGTGTAATTGCCCGCCGCCCAAGTTTGGTATCTTGCAACGTTTCCCTGCTCCACATTTTCATCTCTTTCCCAGTTCGTGGGTCGATATGTTTACTTTTTAATCGATTGTCCTCGACGTCCGATTTTTGTTGACATGCGATTTTCGTGCACTTCTTCGGTGATGTTCGTTTGCATTTGCGATGGTCGTCAAGTTGTCGCGAGCTGGCTTGCTCGGAACGGGCTTCCTTGCAACAACGCCGGCAACACGAAGTGCACCGGAAGCAAATTCATTGCATTTTACGTATTCGAGGCTTTACCCCGAGGCCGCCACGCGCGCGCGAATTAGAATTACTCGAAACCTATTACCAGAGATCATCTTCGCACGCCTCTTGTCCGTCCGTTGGGCCGGCAAATTTGAGCCCCCGGTGGGCCCGGACCGAGCTGGAGCGCCCGCCAGGCCTCCCCAGCTCGCCATTCCCGGCCCCCCCTGGAGAGGGCCTCGAGGCCCCTGCCACCCCCTGGCACCCCTCCGCGCCCCCCCTCTCCCTCCCCCCCTCCCCCGAGGGAGAAAAAAAACGCGAGGGAACAATAAAAAGCCCCGAGGGACAAAAATAAAAGCCGCCGAGGGAAAAAATAAAAGCCACGACCCCCCCGAGGGGGAAAAAAAAACCACGAGGGCAACAACAAAAAAACTTGCCCCGACATAGGAGACTGGATGCGCCGCGGCCCAGGCGCCATGACACGCGCGTGGTGCATGTTCGAGATGGTGAAGGCGCTGGCCAAGCCAGCGCGGCTTCACGTCGTGCTGTCCCACGCCGATGTCAACAGCTTCGAGGAGCTATTGACGAAACACTTCGATGACATCGCCGGCATCGTCGCCGGCCTGGACGCGCGCAAAGCTCAGGTCAGCAAGCCCGAGGACCGTGACTACATCCTCGGACAGGTGCGGATGGTGGACGGTGGCCTCGGCACGGTCACTTCGACCGTCTGCTCCTCGCTGCGCGGTTGGTTGGCAGAGCAGGGGCGGAAGGTGTTGCAGAGCCATCATGAAGACAACGGAGAGCAGAACATCATCCGACTGAAACACAGGGTGGCCAAGCTACTGAAGGCCCAGGGGGACCTCGCCGGCGCCGAGCCGCTCCTCCGCGAGGCGTTGCAGGCTAACCGCGAGGTCCTCGGCGACCGGCACCCCGACACGCTCACCTCGGTGAACGACCTGGCCATGCGGCTGCAGGCCCAGGGGGACCTCGCCGGTGCCGAGCCGCTCTACCGCGAGGCGTTGCAGGCTAACCGCGAGGTCCTCGGCGACCGGCAACCCAACACGCTCACCTCGGTGAACGACCTGGCCATGCTGCTGAAGGCCCAGGGGGACCTCGCCGGCGCCGAGCCGCTCTACCGCGAGGCGTTGCAGCCTGGCCGCGAGGTCCTCGGCGACCGGCACCCCTTCACGCTCACCTCGGTGAACAACCTGGCCATGCTGCTGAAGGCCCAGGGGGACCTCGCCGGCGCCGAGCCGCTCTTCCGCGAGGCGTTGCAGGCACGCCGCGAGGTCCTCAGCGACCGGCGCCCCAGGACGCTCACCTCGGTGAACAACCTGGCCATGGTGCTGCAGGACCAGGGGACCTCGCCGGCGCCGAGCCGCTCCTCCGCGAGGCGTTGCAGGCGCGCCGCGAGGTCCTCGGCGACGGGCACCCCGACACGCTCACCTCGGCGAACAACCTGGCCAGGCTGCTGGATGCCAAGGAAGGCAACTGAGGTCCTGCCACGCCGCTGGGGGCCGAGGGCGGCTCCGAGCCAGGCTGGCTGCCGCTACGCGCCCCTTCTCTAGCTCCTCCGCCTCCTCCTCCTCCTCCTCCTCCTCCTCCTCCTCCTCCCCCCCTTCTTTCTCCTCCTCCTCCTCCCCTCCTCCTCCTCCTCCCCCCCCCCTTCCCCTCCCGTCCTCCCCCCCTTTCCCTCCCGTCCCTCCTCCCTCCCTCCCCTCCCCTCCCTACCCTCCTCACCCCCAACCCCCCCCCCTCTCCTCCATCCCTCCTCCCTCCCAGATGAGGGGGAGGAGAGGAGGAGAGGAGGAAGAGGAGGAGGAGGAGGAGGAGGAGAGGAAGGAGGGAGGTGGATGGGGGGGAGGAGGAGGGGGAGAAGGGGGGGATGCCCAGATCCCAGACGTTTTGAGAAGCTCACGGGGAAGGTTTTCCGTATATTCCAGCCTTCGCGCAGGCCCTGCAAGGCCCTTGGACCTTCAAACATAGACTCAGGACGAATAGCCAGTCCCATGGAAGATCTCCAGACCTCTTGGGGGCACCCTCCTCCTCCTCCTCCTCCTCCTGCTCCTCCTCCGCCTCCTCGCCTCCTCCTTCTCCTTCTCCTCCTCCTCTTCCTCCTCCTCCTCCCTCCTCCTCCGCCTCTCATGAGCAGGGGGAGTTGGTGGAAGATGGGGAAGACAGCAGCGGAAGAGGACAAGAAGAAGCGGGGAAAAGGATGATCACCAGCGTCACGCGGGTTTCCCCGCAGAGGATCGCCATCGATTAATTCCGCGTTTGTCTGATTTCCGACCACCCGAGGATAAAGCATTGCATGTGCTTCCTCATCTGTTGCAGGAATGGTGGAATCTGAGTCTGCGGGTGCCCCCGCCGCACCGACATCGCCTCCGACGGCGCGTGGAAGCTCTCGACAAACACAATATCTGCAGGTTGCCCCGCGATGGGTACACCCAGCCACTCTGCCAAGTCGATGTCGCTGTGGCCAGTGAACACCTTCTCAAACAGCTCGTCGGCGTAATTCTCGGGTCATGCCGGCACTTAGATACCTGGCAGCCATGAAATGAACAACTGTGGCTGAGCCTGAGCCGTCGGCAGGGTCGGCTAAAAGCGACTCCCAATTAACATACTGTATGATGGAGTCCATCTGAGCCAGATGCATTGACGGACCCCTGCCTCTTCCATCACATTGGGGGCATTCGCGTCGTAAATGTTGTGCTGTGACATATGTCGCACTCCATGGTTTTACCGTTGGCATCTTTTGGGTGTCCTCGTCGTCCTCTACCCTTACCTGATGTATGCCCACGGTTTCTGCCAGCGCCTAAGAACATTTCCTCATACTGAGGTCCAGTGAGAAAGGCCAGGAATGCAAGTATGCCTCTACCATGTAGTCGCCGACGCTTATCTTTGCCCTTACTTCGACCCTTGCCGTTTCCTTTAAGTGTCCGACGTCTCACTCTTCTGACTGTTCTTTTTATGAACCTCCGCCAACGACGCTTGTGTTTTTCATAACCCAAAAATAACCATCGAGCTTGCTGCCTTTCCGTGAGGCATGTAGGCATATCAGAGCAATCCGAGGCGGTAGCTTCATCATCGGACGACGCATCCGCATCGGTGCCGGAGTCGGAGTCGGACTCGGCGGACTGCCCTGCTGAGCCCATTAGGGTCATAGCTTGCATAGGGGAAACCGCGTCGGGCGGTTCCCCAGATCTGGCCCAGGACCTTGCGACCCCGAAGCCGTTCCGCCATTCTGAGCCAACAGTGTAGTGGTTTCAGTTGGCGGTATGTCGTCGTTCCAGACATTGTTGGCAGGTTGCCGCGTTGGCCTTTTCGTGAAAAGTCTCGGTTCGATGACCGTGGCTAAAAATTCTACCAGTATTGCCAGGGGTTCTCCCAGCCGTGTGAGCATATGACCTCATACGTGCAAGTAGAGCGTCAAATTGTGCTTGGTCCCTCGGCATGTGGTGTTTCAGAGGCTGCAGGAGTTGTTGTGCACGCGACGTCCCCAGTCCAAGAGCTCTGAATAGAATTGCTGCTAATGTTTGGAAGTTGGGGGTGTTGCAGCCGGCGGCTTCAGCTTCGTAGCGGGCTATTTCGAACCGTGCTAGCGTCAGGTGCACGTGGTCTCGAAAGTCATTGAGAGCCGTGCCAGAGTTGAGTCCGCGTTCCTCTTCTAGGTTCTCGAACTTCGCATCCCCGGCGGGCGCGCTGGGTAGCCGGGCGGCAGCGGCGCTGGTAGTGCGCCCCGCGCACGGCGGTGCCGCTTCTCCTGCTCAGCCGGCGGCTCCGAGGGGGCACGCTCCTGGCTGGCTTCGCTCTCTTCGCGCTGGTCGGTCTCCTCTCCCTGCGGAGCCGAGCGGCTCGTCGTGCTCGCATCTCGTTGAGCCTGATCTCCAGCCTCTGCGCGCTCCTGGCCTCGCGCTCCAGATCGCCCTCGTCTCGGCGCGCGCCGCCTCCAGCTCAGCTCGGATCTGGTTGAGCTTGGCGCTGTCGCCTGAGCTGGACGCCCCTCCGGCGCCCGGGGTGTTGCTCTCGCCGTGCGGCGGCTGTGGCGGCGGCCGCGACGCTGCTGAACGTGGACATGCAGGGCTGGTGCACCACGTGCCACGGACGCGCCAACAGACAGAGCAGCCTGCCGCAGGGCCGGCCGCCGCGCCACGCTGCGCGCTTCGCCTGGCTATCTCGCAGATACTACCCGGCTTGTGAAAGGCGCCGAAAAGGCCATGGCAGGCCAGGCGAGGCCTCGCGTTTGGGCCACTGTTGCCCAGACCCGCGAACTTGTAGCTTGGCCGGAAAGGCAGGCCGCCAAGATATCGGATGGTCGTGGGCTGTTTCGCGGCATTTTTGCTTGAGGTATTCTGAAACCTTATCTCTCGGAGCTCAATCTGCATTTATCCACTTTGTCGGATCCGGCGCTGGTTCCGAGGTGGTGGTTACATTTATGCAGCGGAAGTGCTACCGTACGCCCGTGGAGGTGTCGCGCAAGTGCATCCAGGAGGGCGCAATCCTTGCGCGGCGTGTGCGCGCTACGGCGGGCGGCCGAGAAGTGTCCAGAGCCTTTCTCGCACGTGCGGTACTCAGAGGCGCTGGCTTTCCTCAGGGCGGCGGCTACAGCGTTGCAGTTCGAGGGCGCCCAGCACTGGGGGGCCCGCGCGTTCCGCAGGGGGTTCGCAGATGATGCCCTGCGGGCCGGGGGGACTTCAGCGTTCTTCTGGTCCGGCGGCTGGAGAGGCCTGGCTGCCTTCGGGTGCGCCGCCGCGCAGTCCCGAGGGGCCCTGGCCGCTGCCGAGTGGCTGGTCGAGCACTCAGACTCAAGTGGCGGCGAAAGCGGCTAGGCACGCTCGCATGCGTTGGGCGTCGTGGAAAACAGTCATTTCCGAGGCGTGCCTCCTCGGCTCATCGCCGCCAGCCCCAGCCCTCCTGGAGGCCTTGGGCCCTTTGGTGTGGTCCAGTCGGGCCCGGTCTGGCGGCGCCGTGTGTCTTCCTCGCCCAACGGAGGCGCGGGGGCGCCGTGCCTCTCTCCCATGCGGAAGGCGTGCGCAGAGATCTTCATCGCCCCTAGAATCGCGCAGCGTTTTTGGATTTTGGAGGGCAGGACAATCTCCAGCGTGGCCCATAAGTGACCTCCTTACCTCTTGGCCTCCAGGGCCTTGCCAGTGGTTCTATGTGCTTGGCGGTGCCTCAGTGGCATGGAGGATTGGGGTCCTCTCGGTGCTCGCAGCCGGTGGCCGCGCGCGGCTGGTGGACGTCGGTGTGGGGATGCCATGCCGTTCCCTCTTCTCGTGCCTAAGCTGGCTGGTTGGTTGGTTTGGTTGGCTGGCTTCCGCGTCGGCTGATTGGCTGGTTGGGCGCGGCGGCCGTGCGCGGCGGCTCGTTCCTGCTCCGCGGGGCCTGGTTGGTTGGTTGATTGGCCTTGGCTGGCGGCTGGGCGCTGCTGCTTTCTCTCGCTCGGCTGGTTGGTTGGCTGGGCTTGGAAGGCAGCCAGGCGCTGCAGCTTGCAATGGCCGCTCGCGCGGGCCCGGCTGGTGGCAGCCGTTGCCATCGCCTCCGTGGCGTTGCTTCGTCCTGTTGGGTTGGTGCTTGCGCGCGCGGCTGGAGCCGCCGTCGCCCACCCACTGCCGCCCTGTGCGTTCCGCTGGGTTTGGGCCGGCGCCCCTGCCAGGCTGGGCCCTTCGGTGTGGTCCAGTCTGGCCAAGTCAGGCGGCGCCGTGTGTCTTCCTCGCCCAACGGAGGCGCGGGGGCGCCGCGCCTCTCGCCCATGCGGAAGGCGTGCGCAGAGATTTTCTAGTCTTTCTGGTTCGAGGGAAAAACTGATGAGCTGCTTTGCGTCGTCAAAGTGGACG